TTAACCCTTAACTACTATGATTAATAAAAGTCACGAAGCTGGTATGAAAGCGCCGTGATCAATTTCGAATCTCAATGATGATGTATATTCGTAAATTTTGGTTATAAATAAAAATATTAATTATATGGAGAATGTTTTTACTTTCATTCCTTTCCATGTAATTCTTGGAGAGTTTACTTGTAAATAGTAATTTAAATTGAATAATAGTGAATAATTAACAAAAGATCCATTGTATTCATGATGAGATCGCTTTTGTATTTTCTGACGGTGAGATTACGCAAAGCGGTTCACGAAGTATACTCACGATGAGATTTCACGCCGCCTATTCGATTCATAAGTCTCTGCAGGCCGTTTGCGTTGATCCGTCGCGAAACACGCATTATAATTCAATCAAGAAGTGTTTACCGAAGATGTCGCCACCTTCACTTTTTGAGGGAACGCTGATAACCGAACTTTTTGACCATGATTTCTGCAGAGATGGAACACATTCCACTCCAGTCGTCGCATCAATGGAAAAACTTAGAAATATTCACTTTGTAGAAAATTCAAGTAACTCAATGGCAGGTACGCCATTGTAAAGGTCGGACCGAAGTAGCAGCAATAAATTCGTCTTCGTCAGCTGCCTGTTACCAAACAATATCACTAGAAGACAAAATCTGTTACATCTGTCTCATTTCCCAGAAAGCATGCTAAAAAGAGGCGGGTTGAAACTAGGAGACACATAAGTTTGCGTTTACCGGCCGGTTACCGGTAACCCAGGCTAGCCATAACCCGGAGAACGACGATGGAGTCTTCGAGAAGGACGTAAAACGAAAATCGAAGCGTTGGAAGGAGACAGAAGATCGAGCTTGCCAATAGAGCGAGTGGAAGGGGGTTACGGACACTAGAGTGAGACGGACGTTGAAACAGAACGGTAAAGAGGTCGGGGAGGCGAGGGAGGAACTGAAATAGAGAGTGGAAGAGGATTCACGAGTGGTTCGTGGACTTCTCTCTGTATTAACGGTCGTAGACTACAAAGTACGAGAGAGAAATGAAAGATAGAGAAACGCGTACACACTCGTCGGTGGGACCGATACTCTTCGTGGACTGTTGCCCTAACCTGCACTATTGCTCGAGCATATCGTCACGATTTTTGGAGCGAATTTCTACACGATAAATAGTTTGGTCATTCTTAACGTGATTTTGTCATAATGATCTTATATTAAATCCAAAAATTAAACGACCGCTAATTAAATACACAATCCAACGTGCATTATATAAAAGCATCGCAGTCGCTTAAACCTATTCGTTTATGACATCCTTGACGAGACGTGCCGCCACTCGACCCATTTTTTAGTCATTTCCTTCGGAATCGAATCGTCGTGCGCGGAAGAACTCGATTACGACTCATCTTTTGTAGTAGAATATCACTTCGCTCTTTCCGAGTTATATCATGATTTTTACCGCATCCTGTATATTCACAGAGAGAAATCCCTTCCTTTTCCTCTTTCTCTCTTGAATGTGTAAAGTACGGCAAAAGGAAGACAGAGACGAAGAAAGCAGCGTTAGAGAGAAAGGGGTGTGGATGTCGGGTGTACGGATGGCGAGGGGCGGGGTGGAGAGGACAGACGTTCTACCGTTGCTTGAAACGAACAAGCTTGGTTCGCGAACGTGGCGGGGCGGGCAGGCATTGCGAGAAGGCGCAGAGAGTGGGGGGATGGGGTTCAGCCGATGGGTGGTGGGGGGCGTCTAGTGGGTGGCAGCTGAGCACGGAGTGATAGGGGAAATCAGTCGCGGTTCGAGAACCGCCACGTATGCACGTGAGTGGATGCGCTCGTGTCCTTAGTAAGCTTCTCTCTCTCACACTATTCATAACACGCCGCATTACAGTCGTTCTTCCTCTGCTTCTTCTTCCTCCTTTCTCTCCTCGTTCCAAGCATACATACATACATCCAGAGGGCTCCCTCGAATAAATATAAATAGCACGGTTCTACGGAATTTTAGTCGAAAAAAATCCCGTCCTTCTAGCCGACTTGTTTTAATATTAGGCCTTTCGAAAGCCGAGGTTCGAGAGACGCTTGCGCGCCATTCTTCATAACGGCTAGACGGGGGAACATCAGACCAATCAGAACACCAATGTAAGCAGAGAGCCGAGTTTTAAACGGGAAAAAGACTTGCTGTTGCTTGCGAGACGCTCGCGTTCTTTCCTCCTCTCTCTCTTTCTCTTTCTCTCTCTTTATCTGTCTATCTATCCAGCGCTGA